GCGCCCACCTCACTACTAAGGAGAGACGCAAATGCTATCGAGAGGGTACAGAGAAGAGCGACGAGGTCGGTTGTCGGACTAACAGTCAAGAGATATGCGCAACACCTCAGACAACTCAGCTTGTTCACACTAAGCTGTCGAAGGAAAAAAGGCGGCCTGACAAAAGCCCGAACGATCATACACCAAGCACGCCACCCAAAAACGACAAAGTTATCGGTCCAAAACTGACAGTCCTGCAGGAAGCCCACTGGCATACTTCCGAAGCTATAGGCAGGAAAACGCAAAAACTGAGACCATCTAAAGAGTACAGCCGGACAAAAAACTGAACCTCAAGACCTAGAGGCGACAGCTAAGAAACTACAAGCTTCCTCTTCTTACGCTATCTGTGTTGGATGTTGTTGAAGTCTGAAGATGGGCATCTTACTTTCACTCTTTGTGATGCAAAATGTAGGGGGAGAATGACATGTGTGGCCAATCACCCATAATACTAATTGCCTAAACAAATCAATGTCAAGACTTAGCCCAAAACATTAGGTCACGGAAAATTGTTTCTAAGGTGGACCTGAGAGAGCAAGCAAAGAACGCCATGCTAAGTCCTTCTTAGTAAGAATATTTGTTGTGGGATTCGTTTCCTGAGAAGGTATTGGTGGATTCTTGGCGGATGTTTTAGACACAGGATGAGTGATCCACCTTCATACCACCAGAACTAAATTAGGGCGCTTCTTATGTGCATCGAGTAATTGGCCAATCTTCAAGGAATACTTCTGACGGCTACAACCTGTGCTATAATATACGTTCGCATTTCTTTAGAAGCTGCGTGAGAAGTAAACACAAACAAATGAGACCGAGAAGTGGAAATGTAGTACCTGAATTAGTTTTTGGTCCGCAAATCCTTCGATAAGAAGACTTTAGAACTGTAGTTAAATACTAAATACATTAGACAATGTAAGTGGCGTGGACTTAAAACGTTGCTTCAAGGTCAGTGTTTGTACACTGTTTGTGTGTGTTGGCGACTTTGCTGGTTGAAAGTCTTGCTTGGAACCAAACGTTTAGGTAAACCGCTACAAAGAAATCTCACTGACTTGTTAGGATAACTAAATCATACGCAAGCTCCTGAATAACCATATTACAACATTAGTATATATATATATATATATGTATATATATATAACTAATAATTTTTAAGCCCACATCTAGTTCTTGAGGCTTGGTACTTGTTAACAGGTTTCACTCTTGTAGTGCCCACTTCATAAGATATATGTACGATTATACGTTTCAGTATGAACGTCCTAGGTAAATGTTCTTACTTTTGCTCTTGCTGGAAAAATTGCAAGAAAACAGTATTAATTTCGGAACTCTTAAAAACTCTGGTAATCCTCTACATAATTTTGAGAGGCTTTTGCGAGGTCCGTAATTTTGGAAGGGAAGTAAACATTTGGGGAGATTTTTTGAAACCATGCAGTAAAAATAGAACTGATTACGGCATTTGCCATAAATTTCCTCAAATACTTGACATTGTCTTTCGAATATTTCTACTTCTTGCGACGACTTGTCCGCTTCATGATACATATTATGACGGACAAATCGGGGCGATTCAGATAGTGCTGGTGTTATGTCGCGTTTCCGCTATTCTTCACCATTACATTTTCACCATTATTTCTCCATTTTCGTTGTTTAGGATGCAGAAGGAATCCATATTCGTTAACCCTCAAATGATTGACTTCAGGTCCACTGGAGGGACGGTGACTGTAGTGTAGTACATTCGTCCCTCACTAAACAATCGGATATCACACTGGAACCCTGTAATGTTGAAAGTTAACGAAAGCCAAACTATTCTTTTGTCTCCGTATAGAAATTTTATCGGTCACTAACGCACCAGAGGTGAGCCAGCTTCGGATGTAATTGGATCGGTCAACGCTTTCAACAGCTTAACTTCCTATTTTAAGATAGGGTGACGATGTAAAACAGTCTCAGAAAAACCATTTGCATTCTAGTGGTCAGAAACGAATCCTAAGGTTCTCATATTGTTGTTGAAGGTGCTGAAGCGACCGCATCCTTTCAACATCCTCACTTATAACGACTATTTCGTCCGCGTACATTGAGTCGACTGAAGAACCTTTTGTGACAAGGTTTTTCCAAGATAAGTCAAGTGAAGGGAAGAAAACCTTCGTAGGCATGTGTGTGGCACAATTAAATGAGAGTTTAGAGAGTGGACATCTCTGACACACACACCATTCGACGTACATAACTCACCTAATACTCCGTCATGTACTGTGACTGTGACAGGTTTTCCGCTATAGAGTCTTTAACACGATGATATACTAACAACTAGTGTTGAAGAGATGGGTTAGTGTGAAACACTGCCAGAAGTACAGCGGTCTGAGTTGCTACATTTCATAGCCGCATGCAAAGAAAAGACTTGTACAAAAGTGATATTACAGCAGACATTTTTGCATGTGAAAACCAAATAAAAAGATCAGGTTAACAAATTGTTCAAGATTGAAAGTAACAGAGTGTACGTTTCCGCTTCATTGTAACCAGTCTACAGCCATATCACCAAGAGTCCTTTACAACTAATTTCTGTCGTCTACAAAACTTCAGGTTATGGTAGTGTTAAACGCCGGTAAGTTTACCTGTGTTCCAGTATCTGGTAAGGGAAATCTGATCATTAAAGCTACGAGCACATCTGACGTCTGTGTGATTTCCTTGGGTTTGCTGTCCCTGAGCTTCTCTTAGGCATCTAATGACTATATAACCTACGATCTTAGATACCATGTTTGCCAGACTGATTCTCTGGTGATTATCGTAGCCAGGTTTGTTTCTTGACATCAAAGATTGGGACCACTTAGAGGGAACCATATTTAATTTCCATACACTAGCTAACGCTAGTTATTCTCACCAATTATTCTCGACCGCGATCCTTTATGCTCGTGACACTAGGTTTATTAGCCCTGCTAAAGTCTTCTGTGGAACTCATTTTTCACTTCAGTCAAATTGAAGTCAGTGTGTGCGTAAATAAATATTGCATAAAGACGATGGTAAACTCCGCCATCCTTTTAGTCCTCACTGCACCGTTCAGTCAAACAACGCATAAGCGACTATCATCTGAGACCTAGTTGAGGAGTGCACTTTGTGTTATGAATTAGCGCTATACATACACCTGCAAGGCCCCAAAATGTAGCTATTAAATCTCCAGGAAATCGAGGAGCGTGTTTTGCAAACACCACATTAAGATTCCAGTATGTGGTTTGGAGCTCAGTTTCACAAGACTAGATGTTCTGCGAACTAGAACCGTTATCAAGGGCTGCAGAGCTGAAAGAAAGTTAAGATGACTTGGGAATATTTACCAACAGATGTGAAAAAAATATCAGTAGGCAACGATGTGTTTGTGTATGTGGGGGGGGGAGTGATGGTGACAAGAAGAACTTGGAGTGCTGAGGGCGGTTTTCGTTCCTTAGTTACCCATATCATGCCAAGTCACTTCTTCCTACGGTACTTGAGAAAGAAAGTATGTTAGTAAGGCAGGTTTTTGGCAACCTTGATGCGTCACCGGGAACCCAGGAGATACGCATTTGAGGCTGTCACCATATGACCTTTGGGGAGTTGGATGATGCCTTATCCCTTTCAGTAACAAAAATGATCCAGACTTCCTGACCGCGTTCCTCGATACTGTGGTAATCCGTGATCGAAGATTCTTGGTGACATGGCTGAAAATCGGTCACTATAGTGCAAATGGATTCACTCCTTGACATCTAAATAGTGAGTTTTCACACTAACCATCTCCAAACTGCTTATTCTGCCACACAACTTTGTCCGCTTTAACATCATTTATTGTATCCACCCGTTTTTGTATGCTACTGTGAAGTGGGACAACTGGAACGATGCACTTGTTTGCCAGATTCTACGTTGATTTTGTCTGTCTGTCTGTAACGAAATTTGTTGCAGTACTTTTCTGTTGTATTTCCTTTAAACAATGCATCAGGGCAATATACGAAGCTCAGTGGCAGTGTACAAACGTTTTTCAGGCGATAAAGACATATCATGGACATGGCCCTCGGCATTACTGCATAACTTTCCGAGTTGCTACAGTTCACAGGAGATTAGGAGACAAGCGGAACAACAGAATATTGAGAAAGTAAAATATTGTCTGAAAGTCTGAGACTGAAAATAGAATGGATTAAAGCTAGCAACAGATAATGTGGTGATGAAAAGGAATGTTGAGCGTGAATGTATACTATTTCTATCGGTTTTTAACCATATCGCCTAGTGTCAAACGGATGGTTTTGCTTGTTTTGGTGATCCTGACAAGAAATCTTGGGTAGGAAACACACCTACCTTATACATATCCGTACACTAAGCAATGAGCTACACCTATTGTATGAGGGCCAATAATGCTACTTAACCGCTCAAACCTTGGTAGGTGGAGCGGGGTTCGAACCCGCGGCCCATTGGTTGAAAGTCATCTCCGTAAATCAGTCACCCACTGCCGTAACCGATCTCTTAAATATGCGAATTAATGTTATAACACGACTAACTGGACTTCAGTATACTAAATGAGTTTGGAATAGCCAGTATTTCAGTTGGCGGATAGGTGGTAACACAAATCCTTTGCCAATATAAGTAATTTGCTGGAAAATCTATAGAGCACTATGTAAGGAAGCTTCCTCTTTGGTGCAGTCGAATACCTCATTTAAGTCAAGGGGTTTGATCATTGGGAAACACTAGTAAGCAGAAATATGTCAGTCAAATGGAGTATGATGCTTTTCGGGCTTGACGTCTCTGAACCCCAGTTGGTATTTAAAGGACTGCGGATCCTCAGATTCTGAAGACTGTTAATCAAACGAGTTCTTTTATGGATTTGGTAACAGGATTTATGTACCTTTTTTGTAAATCCAAATGACTAACTATAATATCGAATCAAGATATTCCATTTTACTCTATTTTAGGTTGTGCATTTTTATCAACTCACCTACGCATCATCGTAAAAGCATCCTTTTCTAATGCTTGATTTCATCTTACTTTTGTTTTCGATATTGCATGGGTTAGCGTATTGCGAAAGGTTTGATGAAGAACTTCTCATCAAAGATCTAGGTCATGGATATACAGCTTTTCACTTTAACTTTGCCGCAACAACCTCAGAGGCAATTCTCTCCTGTAAGTTCCTTTGATATAACTTTATGATTTTATCTAGCAAAACATTATAACATTCTTCCAAAATCCATTATTCAAATCTTTAAGAAATACAGTGTTAATGAATTTCATCTTTCAATTTCAAGGGGTATATGGGATGAACGCTGGGGCAGCAGTTTTGTATCAGTTTCTCCTTCTGGAGCTGAATTATGGGCGTGGTTTAGAAATCAAACCACCAGGTAAATTTTTGTATTTAATGCTAATAATTTAGTGTCGATCAATCATGGTTTGAACTAACACATGCCCTTTCTGGATTATTCTGTGCTTCTTTAAATCGTCTGTCTACGAGTGAGCATTTTGCTTCTCCTCTTTATTCGTATGAATCGTTTGGATTACCAGCTGATAAAGTTGCTGGAGAGGTCAGATATTCCCAGCTACCTGGTGAAGGTCTGTGTAGTGAGAACTTGACTCCGTGGACTAAATATCTGCCATGCAAATCGTTTTCTGGTTTAGGCAGCTTATTACGACCAACTTCATTGTTCAAATCAAATTATAATGCGATGACGGTTGGAGTAAGAAGAATCTGTTTGGTAGGCTTCATTTTCACCATATCATTGCTAGTTAGGATTTAAATGCAATACAGTTGGTTTACAGCTGATAGAAACACTAACCACTGTTTTCGATAGGAGTTTAGTGTTTGGAAAAAGAACTTGTAAGTCCTTTTCTTAATCATCACGATGGTGTTTAGTCAATTAACTGTTCACTGCATATTGGTACTATTTGATGCGCTGTATCAATTTTTAAACAATAATGGTAATCATGATAATCATTTTATTCCAAACCATATCTCGGTGCAGTTAGGAATTTGAAACAATTAATCTCTTCTATGAATTTAGATAGTGTAGTTAGAAGACGAAATTTATCTGAACAATGTGGTGTATTTGCCAATACATCTCAAACAATGCCTGAATTTTCATAGTCTTTGTCCAATACTGTACAAGTGGGGTCTATTAACATGCCTGTTTAATAGAATCCATCGTATCTGATGTACAGATGCGATAGATAAAGATATCAAATTACTGACAAAAACACTTATAGAAGACGGATATCCGTTGAAGTTTATAAACCGCTGTAAAGGTCAGATAGCACCAAAGCCAACTCTATACACGGTTCCTACAAAAAGCGTTCATATCACTCTACCATACGCAGAGGAGTGTAGCAGTATAGTTTTGAAACGTAAGCTAACATCAGTCATCAATAAAATATATTATGCAGCTAATCATTTCATAGTTGAAAAAACTGAACGCATGCTACATCATAAACCTAAACACTGCACCAATGATTACGTCATATCTCATTGTATTTACTAATTCACATGCGTCTGTTCACATATACATAGGGAGGAATAGTTGGGCCATTGAGTTGAGATTGGGAGAACATATACCTAAATGGCTTCGAAAACGAATGGAGTGTGAAACATTGATAAACACTGGTGGGTGACGACCCTCTTTATTTATAGCTAGACATATATCATAAAAACAGGTCACAAAATTAATGTCCAAACAGGTTTCAAAGTTTTATGTGCAAAAAGTCAGGGCTATATACTGAGATTTGCGGAAGTCACAGACATAAAAAACTTAAAACCATATTTATGTTTACAAAAGTAATTTGTTCTTACACTAAACTCACTTTGGTTAACTTTGTTTTCTTACCAAGATTAGGATCAACTATGTCATTCTTCCTTACCTTAATTTTAGCCTTCTATTATCCTAATTGTTATATTTGTTCTCCCACTTTTCGGTTTAATATAAATTGACTCGATAGGTAAGTGTGTGATCGAATTGTTCGCAAATACGTCACACATTGTTCAGATAAACTTCATCTTCTAATTACACTCACAATTAGAAATTTTCAGCATTTCTAATAGTGTTAATATAGCAGTTTATGAAAAAATATTAATAACGAGGAAAACTTTACATTGTTATTTATTATTATTTATTGTTTCAAAGTTGATAAGCGGGTTCTGCAATTTCCGGAAGAGTCACGCTCAAAAACACCTTGCCATCTACCATGGTGGTTTTCTTTAACTTGATTTTCATCATTTACTGTGACACTATTCACACCATCACGAGTTTGAGCAAACAGGATACACGATATACATCATTCACCTAGAAATCAGTAGCTGCAGCTAATTGAATTTCATAAGCACATTGTACCTAGTTGTTATTGTATCCAGTTTGGATTGTAAATCTTGCAGACGCTTGATCAAGGTGCCTGTTTGAAAGTGAAGTGGTTTAAGTCAGTCACCGGCGATTTAAACCTCAAACTATCAGAGTATCTGTCTGATGTTCAAGTCTTGTTTGACCGGTTTACCAGTCTGCAACAACTCTCAGTTTAATGATAGGGAGCGAAGTAATGGAATGCGTCGACCACTTCATTTCGGAAGTTGGATCAGTCCAAATGGGCTGGTTGCTGACGAAATCTCAGCTTGGTTGCAGAAAACTCGTTTGGCATTTGCCATCTTGCGTCATCTCTGCCTCTGACTGGGGAGATATCCAACTATTTATAAAAGAACGAGTGTACTGCGCTGCAGTCTGTTCTATCCTGTCATACGACTGTGAGATATGGCCGTTAAAAATAGGAGACATGAAGCTCACACAGGGTTTTGATCACAGGTGTCTTAGCATTTCTCGCGTTTGGTGGAATCACCCTGTGAACAATGCTGAGGTCGGGCGAAGGGTACCAGGCAAGATAGACAAGTCGATTGATGAGGTTATGTACGTTCGTTGACTAAGATGGCTTGAACATGTGTTGCGCACGTCAAACCACCTCGTATTTCGGCGTGCCATACTGGGGGAAGTTGGATTAAGTTGAAAATGGGTTCAGGATGGCCAGATCAAGATGTGGCACCAGACCATGAAATCCTTAACTGTTGGTCTGAGTCATGTGGGGAGGTGTAGACTACGTGACTGGGGTCCGCGAAATAAAAGGAATCAGTGGTTGAGGACTGTTGGCAGTATGTCTGAGAATCAGTCACAATAGAGCTTATTTTGCTTACTCTCGTAACGTCAATGATTTTTCATGCATGCGTTATGTCTAATCAATGTGTTTTTTGTTTAGCCCCTTGGTCTATTAAAAGCATGCTTGGTTCAGAGATTAAAGGTTCCTGCAGTGCAGCTGACTCTAGCCGTGTGTTTATTCTCTCTTCACATGAAGATGTCAGTATAAAGGTAGATGGTGTGGTGAAGATTAAATATCCCGACACTCGTGTTCTAGCTGCGTATTCGTCAAAAGATTTATCACCAGCGTTTACATCATCACCTTTTACGGTGAATAAGAAAAGACCTATCTCACAAGCTCTACCTATTGTTTCTGTTACGAAATATGTCACTGGTTCTGGAAATGTAAGGGGAGGTGTGAAGGCTTCAGTTACTAATCGAGCTGATTTCTGTATAGAAATAACTTATTTCGATTTAATACCGTGGTACACACAAGTTTTCTTCAGTTCTTTGCAAATCTACAGTTTGGATTCTAAAACACAAGAGCGGACGACGATTACTCCCCGTAAGTTGTCTTTTTTTAGTGTTCATTTGTGGCATGTACAGTTCTGTTATTCAATTTTATTGTAAGATTTAATAAATCCATACAAATTAGCTAAGTCTGACTGAAATCTAGCGATTAATTTCTCTAAGGTTTCTAATTGGCTTAGGGTAGATTTTAACAACAGGCTTTACTAATACTTTCATTCTTGTAAGCCATAGTTAAAGAAACTTGAAGTAGATCTCTTGAATAATGAAGAGACAGTTCAACTTTTCACTGCATAATTATTCTTACATCTATTTCACATTGGGAATAATATTGTGCAAATCTAATGTGATTTTAGGCTAACGACTAGTAGTTCTCTTTATATTGCTAATTAACTGAGAATCACATGATTATGGCTTGCGTTTTCATAAATTTGATTTAATCAAACAAATTTCCTTCCGTTACCTATTCATAATTCAGTTAAAAGTAAAAGACATGAAATGATTATAGTGTTCTGATCACAGATGTCTTCGTAGCATTGCTAGCGTGTGGTGGAATCACCATGTGAGCATTGTTGAGGTCGACGAAGGGTACTAGACAAGACAGGCAAGTCAGTTGACTTCGATATGTATTGTACATGCCAAACCGCCGCTTACTTCGACTTGAAATGCCAGGAGAAGTGGATTAAGTTGGGAGAAGGTTCAGGGTGGCCAAAGACGTGGCACTAATTGATAAAGTATCTAACTGTTGGTCTGAGTCGTGTGAGGCGATTTAGATTGTCTGGTTAAGGTCCCTTAGACGACAGAAATGAGTGATCGAAGACTCTTGGTGATATGGTTGAAAGTCAGTCACAATGGCGCACATGTATTTACTCGACGTCTTCTAAAGCTTGCTCTAACCTTTAGCTGAAGATTGTTTATTATCTCACGCTACTTATCTACTTTGATATCACTCTTTTTCTGTCCACCTGTTCTTTACGTATTATTGTAACTTGTGGCAACTGGAAAGCATGGACTCCAGTGCCAGGTTTTACGTTGATTTTGTCAATTGGTCAGTCAAGTTAGTGCATCATTAAGTGATTCCCTACAATTGGGATCTGAAGAGGACGACCTAAGCCTAAAGACTTGCTTAGCAATTTTGAATATACAGTCGTCACTTGTTATAACTTTTTAGTGACTACTTGATATAACCTATTATTATTATTTGTCCCTTGGGTTCCTAATGGAACATAGGGCTTCAGTAGCACGTCTCCAATGGGCTCTGTTCTCTTAAATCTTTTGAACCTGGCTCCACGAAGGCCCACAAGCTCTCATTTCCTCCTCACACGATCTCCTCGATGTCACCCTCGGACGTTCAACTCGTCGCTTCCCATCGGGGTTCCACTCGAGTGCCTGACCTGACGCGTGATGTCCCCAGTCGGCCTTCTCAGTGTATGTTCAATCCATCACTTCCTTCTGCATATTTGTTGAGCGATAGCTTCTTGGTTGGTTCGTTGCCAGAGTTCCTTGTTGCTTATTCTTATTATTCTGGCAATCCATCTGATCTTCAGTAGCGAGCGTAGGCAGTTGTTGATGAATGTCTGTAGTTTGTTGGAAATGCCTTTCTTAACGCGCCAAGTCTCTGAACCATATAGAAGCACTGACTTGACTGAATTGGTGTTGAAAATCTGGATCTTGTTCTTTGTGCTGAGTGGAAGAGATCTCCACACTGATTTCAGATTAGTGAAAGGTTGTCTTGTTGACTTTCCGATCCTGGTTTTAACATCCTCGTCTGTGCCGCATGTAGTTGAAACAGTGCTGCCCAGCCTAGGTAGGTGAGAGGGACAACTTGCTTTAAGTTTCTCCCGTTGTTGGTGATTAGAGTTTGTTGTTGTTAGTGGTGGTTGGGTATCTTCATCACCTCTATCTTCTCTATATTCACTTGAAGTCCCGTCTTCGCTGCCTTTTCTGTCAACTTATTAGTTTTCGCCTGTAGATCTTCAAGCTTGTGCGACATCGGACACAAGTCATCGGCGAAATCCAAGTCTTCTAGGTTCTTTTCCGCGGTCCAGCGTATCCCCCTCTTCTCGCTCCTCACTGTTTGTTGTGTGATCCAGTTGACCACAATCAGGAAGATCATGGGTGATAGTAGACAGCCTTGTTTCACTCCTGTCTTCACTTGAAAAGCATCACTGAGCTTCCCATTGTGAATTACTTGGCTGGCATGTGGCGTCTTCATATAGTTGTTGAATGAGATTGATAAAGGTTTGTGGTATTCCGTAGTGTTGAAGCAGCTGCCTGCCAAATTACTTGTCAGTCGACGCTGTCGAAGGCCTTTACAAAATCGATGAAGTTGTGATAAGGTGGAGAGTTGACTGCCATTCTATACTCTGTTCTATGGTGATGCGAAGTGTAGTGTTGCAATTTGGTCTGCACATGATTTGTACTTCCTGAATCCAGTCTGTTCCGGTCGTAGTTTTGAATCCAGTGCATCCCTTAGCCTCTCCAGGATGATGCGGCTTAGTATTTTGCTTGGTGTGGTCAGGAGCGTGATTCCGCGCCAGTTCTTGCAAACACTGAGGTCTCCCTTCTTCGGGAGTTTGACATGGTAGCCCTTCCTCCAATTGATCAGCAGGTACCTTTTTTCCTTCCTTCCTTGTAAACCTTCTGCAGTAGTAGTGTGAGCATGTCGGCTGTTGTCTCTGCGTCTGTTTTCAGTGCTTCTGGTGGAATTCCATCTGGTCCTGTTTCTCTCCCGGATCTCAGCATTTTTATGGCGCTCAAGACTTCACCTCTGCTTTTGTTGGAGGGCCTGTGTTGACTTGTAGTTCTGCCGTTGCTGTTGGTATTTCTGGACGAGTTGCAGGTGGTGGTCGATTCAAGTTTTTTTGAAGTGGTCAGCCCATTGTTTCCTTTGTTTCTCTTCTTCGGTAATTATATTTCCTTCATCATCTTTTATTGGTTTCACCAGTGTTGATCTCTTCCTTTCCAGATAGTAACCTGGTTATTTGATATAGTGTTGTCAGGTCTCTTTCTCACTTACCTACAACCTGTTGTGCTTCACTTGGTAGCGTGTTGTAGAAATGTCTTTTGTCTTTGTGTGCACTTTCCTTCACTTCTTTGTTCAGTGTAGTGTTTTATACGTTGTACTCAGTTCCACTTTTCGTTATGCATCACTGCCCTGGTTCATCTTCTGCTTCAACATCCTCCTTTCCTCTATCAGCTTCCATGTGTTCGTCGAGGTCCATTCCTCATCTTCTTCCTTCCTGATACGGCTATGCAGGTTTCTTTCCACATCTCTTTCAAAGACTTCCAGTGTTCTTCCACACAGGTTTCTTCAGGGATGTTCATCGATATTTACCATTTTGTCTTTGTGGCTGACGTGAAGATTTCGTTTGTAGTTTTGACCTTCTTTGAAGGCTTTTAACTTGATTTGGAAGGTTCCTCGCACTAGATAGTGGTGTGAACCTACATCTGCTCCTCTTCTTGACCTTGTGTGAAGTAGATTGCGTCTCCACTTTTTTCACATTGAGATGGAGTCGATCTGATTTTTAGTGTGTCCTGGTGTCTGGTGAAATCCATGTCGCTTTGTGGGTATCCTTGTGCTTGAACACAGTGTTTCCAATCACCAAATCGTTGACTGGGCAGAATTCTGCAAACAATTTTCCATTCTGGTTCATTTCACCGAGTGCTTCTCGACCCATGATGAGCTTTCTTCGTGTGTTGTCTGCTCCGAGTTTGGCATTGATGTCACCCATTAGAATTTTGATGTCGCCAACTGGAGTCCTGTCTAGTGTTAATTACAGTTGTCTGTGGAATTCCTCCTTTTTCTCTTGCTCTGCATTATTGGTAGGTGCGTAGCACTGTATGATTGTGACCTTCCTTCCTTTCGAGTTGGACCTTGCTGTCATGATCCTGATTGTGGAGGGGATTGGTTCCCACTGCATGAGAGCCTTCGATGCTGTTGGGGACATCATGATAGCCACTCCAAAACTCAGTGTGCTCGTGGTTGTCGTCTGGGTGTCAATATCAGAGTAGATTGTTGATTCTCCAGTCGACAGCTGGGAGAGTCGACTTCCATTCCATCTGCTTTCGCAAATTCCAAGCACTTCAATGTGACACCTCATCTCGTTTGCAATCTGGGCTGCCTTGCTGGGTTCAAGCATGGTGCGGACATTCCATGTCCCCACGTTTACTTTCGCTTTCATCGAGAGAAGACACATCGGTCAGTTGGTTTCCTGAAGACTTTCACCATTTGGCGTCATTTCGCCTCTCCGATTCCAGCGAGGAATAATTTTGTTATTATGTTTTATATGTCGTTTGTGCTTTGAAGTTTGTTTAGCGGTTAGATTTGTTTTCCGGGGTGGGGTTGCTAGCCTTACGCCCAACCTTCCCTGTATACCCGGGCTTAGGATCGGCTAGTAACTAGTGAACTAGTTAACCAGGCGAGGTTCTTGATATTACCGAAGTTATATATATTTGTAGACGCTTGAACAGTAACCTTTAGATTCCGCTCCTTGATGACTGCTCATTTTTCTCGATAAAGTGGTAATATAACGAAGATGTATTGCAACGTCAAAAATATTTACAAAATACAAGGGTTTATATCTATTTACAGTGACCTTGACTATTTTTACGCCTTTCTGGATCTGAATGTCTTATTGATTTTCGTCCCTTCAACCAATCTGATAGTTACACGTTAGTCCTCGTGCTTTCTACCGAAATTTCTGGGCAGAACGATTGGTTGTAACAAGCGTCAGAGATTTGGGGCTTTTTATAGAGATCATGACAATCGTATTATGCACTAAAACAGCAAGATAGCGAGTCTACACATTATGCTGCTTGGCATTTATATAAACAGTTGCGTATTAGGCTGAACTGCATCTGTCCTGTGAGAAAGTGAGTGGTAAGAACGGGGTCCGAAGAGTTTCTAGACAGTCATAGTAGTTTATCATGGCATTTTCATCTTACTAATACAGTTGAAGCTACTCTCTATGATTGTTTTTTATTAGGAGATGATTTTAATTATGCATAATTTATAAATGTTGAAGCTGGGACCTACCTACTTATGATTTACTGGTTCGAACTGACCAGCCTTTGCTGATAGATGGGTTCACCATATGAATGCTGCGACATTGCTTATTATTATATCTTGCTCGCGTCTCTTAGTGACCAGGATTACCATCCAAAGCGCATATTTAATTTTACGAACAACTTTTCAATTAGATATACTCATACACTTGATTGAATGTTGGTCCTGGTAAGAACACCAAACCGGTGTTCATATAATAACGATTTTTGGTGTTTTGTGTGAACTAACGGTTTTGTGGTTAAATGTCCTCTACTTCTGTCAATTAAGAAATCACCTGTTGTTAACTTCAGTCTGTAACAAAGTCTTATGTACTTATTCATCAGTATTTTTTAAAATGTCTTTCAAAAATTAACTGTTAATTCATTTTGATAGGCTGGTTAGCGGTCAAACCAGGTTTAGCCAGGAAACGTATGGCCAGTATGGAGTTAATTATCACCTTGCCTGCTCATAGTCAAGTAATGATTTATTATGAGTTTCGCAAAATGCTTCAGCGTTGGAATGAATTTCCTCCCGATGCTAATCATGGATTTTTTCTTCCTGCCGCATCTGTTTCCTACACGTTAAGCAATGAACAGTTACATCGCTTAAATCAGACAAGATATGGTGCCCTCCAAAACTTGAATCTCCCGAATTGGGCTAGCAGTTACAGTCAGTTTTTGTAAGTTTAATATTTTGACCCATAATTCAGGTAACTTGTCTTAGCATATAAGCATATTTAGTTTACTTTTTCTGAATCATTTTACTAGATGTGAATACATTCGACCTTCAATACTCTGTTAGCATCTTATGTGTTTGATGATATTTCCGTATGACTGGTGCAACTTTAAGGTGTTAGGGGAATGAGACAAATGTTTTGGTGAATTTGTGGACTTTCATTGACTCAGGTGACATGAACGGGGTTTACGCATATAAGTTACTTTCTACTTAAACGCACGATGTCCTGTAGTGTATTATTGAGCAGAAAAAAAATGCTGAGGGTTTGATCAGACCAAAATATCGCATCAGTCCATGAAGCTTTTGACTACTAGTCTCAACTGAGTAGTGGTTTATGTGATAATTGTAACCGCCGGTGTAGTACTATGAAAGCTGGATGTGGCAAACTGGGTTAATCGCTCGACTTTCAAACGACAGGTCTGGGGTTAAAACGCTACTCTACTTACGTAGTCCTGAGTAATCGGGTAGTATCATAAGTTGTCACACGATTGGTATGGCACACAGCTTAGTACAGATTGCTTAGAGCTGATGGCAATGGTGTTGACACACTTATTTTAATGTAGTGTAGTTGTTTGGATTGGAATACAGTTATGCTGCATATTTTACTTTGCAGACAACAATACTAGCAAGGGAATTCACGCAAATGTCCGATGAGCTCTACAAAGACATGGAACCAATGGGTTTTCTTCAGGTACTTCAACTTTCACAGTATCCACATGCAATTAGAAAGTGTTTATCTGTGCTCACATAGGAGATGCCAACTTTAAGTTTTAATTTAAGAAGAAACTAACTGGGCCTAAATATAGTAGCAATTATCACCCTAGTGTAAGTTGATGTCGTATTCAATTAGCAGCGTCAAAATAACGGTATAGATACTGGTAAAGGCTATCGGGTCCAGTTTTGATGAGTACGAAGAGAAAGCAGCGTAAACTAAGTCTTCTTGATTATCGTAAACAGCAGTAAGTTACGAAAACGAAAGTGGCTCACAAGTCGCTTATGACTTCTGGAAATAAATGACTGTCAGAACAATTTGAAGAATATTTCAACTGAATTGCAACCAGTTTCAGTTGCTTACCTTCATGGCCCAAAATGAATGGGATATAGATATTTTAACTCCAGAAGTTTTAAAGGATAGTGGTGAGGAGTCGCTGGTTAAAATAGCTCTGGGGCCAGCGAAGTTATTGTAACTAGAGTTAGTTTGATAAAACTTGTTAATTATTTATGTTTATAAGAAAGGAGAGAAATCTGCATTTAAAGCCACGGAGAATTAGTTTATCCATCAACTTCTGAGACCTTAGACCTGGTGATTGTATGACAGCTAACTGAAGTTTGAGAACAACAAATCTGAGTAAACTAGACACCCTTCATATCTGGACTTTTTGGGCGCATGCATATCCACGGTGCTTGACGCCACATTTTTCTGCCTGAAGGTGGTATTTGACCCCATCAATCGGAAGGTGTTGTAGCATTGTATGAGCATGAAAAGTATACTTATGTTGCTCTATTTTGATTCTCTATTTGAAATGATCAGAGACTTGATAACTGAGGTAGTGAAAACCCAGTGTTATCCACCAAGAATGCTCTCAGTCGTAAAGGGCTTCTGATGCACCAATGGTGACTGTGTTTACTTCTGATTTTTCAGAGATTGCTTCATTGTTTGGTGACGATTTTGAACACTTAAAGTACGCAGGGGGGTGTAGTCCTATTCAGCAAAATTGCTGACAAGATAAAGTATCTTTTGAAAGACCTATATAGAAATCTGAATTTGTTTGGTATGCGTTTTGTGGCTGTTAAATATAAACTGGTGATGCAAGACTCGTCTGCACCAAATCTTACTTAAAGAATCCGAAGTGGTAGAATGCGTTGATTGTTGAAATTGAAAATCTCACTATTCCACTTTTCCTACCTATCTTTTTACTTCCTAGATTATTATGCAATCGCACTGTAATCCTACAGAGAATTTCTAACACATTCTAAAACAGACCTTGCACCTGTAGAAAAAATCCTTTGATAACCAATTAAACACTGATGGATACATATTATCGCTGTAACTACAGCTTCTGAAAATGATTCACCGAAAAAAGAAATTCCTTTCGTTAATTTTTTACATTCAACCTTTATTTATCCACTGCCTTCATCCTTCAGCATTACGCAGTCTTATTGTCTTTTCCCAAGCTCTGACCCACTTTACCTGTTCACATCGTTATACCATTCTCAACATTCGTATTATCATTTATACCACCACTATTTTTATTATTCCAAAGTACATGATTCACATCCTTGTTATCGTTAACTATCAGTTTACCCTGAATGATTAATGTGTGTTGAAAGGAATGTATATTAGAGTAAAACCTGAGTAGACCTAATGGAAAACAATATTGTTCGCTTACATGTGATTTTTCATGATGCTATTAATTATCGTTTTGATTATCTGAGATAGCCGTGGTTCAACAGACTAGTATTGATACTGGGAGATAATTGAGAGTGAAATGAAAATTTGGACCGCGGTAGGATTCGAACCGGCGACCACCGGGTTTCTGGAGCGGTGTACGACCACTGAGCGAAGAGATACCCCCAACGGATAGAGGATCGCTCCGGAAACCCGATAATCGCTGATCCAAATCCTGCCGCGGTTCAAATTTTCATTTCACCTTCAATCATCATCCGGTATACAATTAATTATCAATCTTTCGAACTTTTCTATATGTAGTTTATGTTAGACGCCGGTTAGTAATGAAAACCTGTTAGTGAATTCTTTATAGCTAGTTGGCATTTTCTCATTCATAGAAATACTCTTTTCTCCCGTTAGTAATGTAGTGTCAACTGAATCCAGACTTGGAGATGGTTTCGTCCATTTATACTCTCCTGTATCTTTGGTCACAATGCCAACCCCAGATTTCAGTATGCCATTCAATGTTTTGTGCTTGGTTTGTTCAGTTCTCGCGGTTTTATTTGGATCTGTACACAAAGCTACAACAACTGTATTGAATGTTAAACTTCAATCACATGAAACCGATTTAAATTGGGTTCACCAGATAAAGTGCGTGTTTTGTAAAGCACATACTTCGAGGATAAATGGTGAACCGAAAATTCAAATAACTGATCAGGGCGGTCACGACAAAACTGAATGACCAGTGAAAAAAATTGACCCTATGCTTCAGAATGACGATTGTTTTTTATTATAAATTATACAGCTTGAAGTCTTCACTTTTGTACTCTATGGTTGTTTTTGTAACTGTATGTCCATAGTTAATTTAATCACTTAACTTACTTGCATATAGTTTGTTTGGTCATGAACACTAAAGAGCGTATATTAGCTGATACTTTGCTTGTGTAGGTTGATACTGATAAACAAACTTTCCAATTCCAAGGAATCAAAGTGCATATACATACGCCAGGTATTTTCGTAAATAACGTAATTTTTTGTAGTCAGCTCTTTTTCGAGCTATGGTCATTATACATGGAAGTGTGCAGAAGCTTTATCTGATTTCTTGGTAAAGCACCCTGAAGAGGTTCGAGGACTTCGTGTTCTTGAGGTTAGGCCATTGTTTTCCTCAGTTACAAGTTTCACTTAGCTAGGTGCTGGCACTGGTCTGTGTGGAATTGTTGCTGCTCTTCTTGGTGCTGTTCATGTTCACTTCACAGACAAAGACATAACATGTAGGAATACGCTAAATGTAAACGCTCAACTAAATGGAATAAGCAATTATGATTTCACTTTATTGGACTGGAATTATCCCTTTAGCTATAAAGGCGAGCAGTTTGATGTTATCCTTGCTTCCGATTGTATGTACGACAAAAAGGGTAAGCTTCCATTCAACTTATTTTAGTTCTAGTTTATGAACCCTTTTGAGGACGTCAGCTTTACAGCTAAAAATAAAAAACTGTAGATATATGCTTCTTTCTTTCGAAAATCGCAGGTAAGCATTTCATTAAAAGCAGTTGATGCAAAGCAGTTCTTTTACAGATATTGCAGTTTTGCTTAGGAAATATGGTCTTGAAGCAAGTGTGCTACCAGGATCTGATGTTACCTTCGAAAATATCCACATTTTTCGTATCCACCTTAAGCATATGCTTTGCTATGTGGATAAACACAACACCTGTCTTTAATTCCGTAGGACTTGGGGTTAGGATGGTGTCATTCAGTATATCTCCCACAAATTGTATGATTCTATGTTTTGCTGTATTTTGTAATATATGTAAACAGAAATATTTCAGCAACAAGAACAACTTACCGAACCACGGATATTATGAGAAATGGTCCTTTTTATTTCGATTTGTTTTGGGCGTGTTATCGTGGTATTCACTGTACACTAAAGTCTTTAGAATACTTGTGATTGCTTAAACTTGAGCTTATTGACTAATTTATCACCGAGAATGATAGAGGGTAATCACCTAAAGTACTGTTGTGTCGACAGTTGTCAGAGGACATTTAAAGGACGGAATGGTATAGATCATTTGACTGACTGTATCCACGTATGTGTCAAATACAGCTGAAACTTCATTAAGTTCGACCCTTATAAGGCTCTGGATGGTTTGTCGTGTTGACTGTCACATCAAACTTTGCGCGTAATGTTACATCAGTCGATAATTACTGCTGTAAGTTTACCAGCTTATTTGATCTCATCCGACGCATCTGTCCACTACCGAAACTAATGGTACGTTGAGGACTTGAAAGAGCTGTAACAGAATCTAACCTATCTGCAATATATGTACGCACTCACCAAGTGATCGATGCTCTACAGACAGCCGTCCTAGCTGGCAAATTTGATGCTCCAGTACGTAGATAAAGAGATACTCAAGTAGTTGTTTTAGCTCAAATTTTGGTGACTGCCCTCGGACTTCTGTTGTGTATGTGTTTCAGTTGACAGGGAGATTACCAGTAGATCCCTCTAAATTCTTCAGACAAGGACTGAGTGAGCACAAAGAGGAAAATGACTGTGTTAGTTATCATTAGTTTCCTGAGACCATTTCCAGCCTTTCGCCAAAATTAGCGGTGAACACTGCAGGGACAGTCGGTAAAATGTTGAGGAAAACTAGATCTTAGTAACTTATTTCGAATTAATGGATGCACGAAAACGTATCCTAGAAGGCTTCAAACATGATCAAGAACAAAACAGGTCGAACGTAAACTGAATCAAGTTCATGGGGTTGAAATGCTGATATAAGCATTACTATGCAATTTTTTGGAAAATTATAGCAGTTACGTGCTCACAAAGAGACTAATGGAGAGGTGAACAATTTGAGGAACCTAACCCTATTATTTATTATTATTATTATTAGTCCCTTGGGTTCCTAGTGGAACATAGGGCTTCAGTAGCACGCCTCCAGTGACCTCTGTTCTCTGAGATCTTTTGAACCTGGTTCCACGACAGCCCACAGCCTCTCATTTCCTCCTCGCATGACCTCCTCCATGTCACCCTCGGACGTCCAACTCGTCGCTTCCCATGGGGATTCCACTCGAGGGCCTGACGCGTGATGTCCTCAGTCGGCCTTCTCAGTGCATGGCCAATCCATCTCCACTTCTTCCTGCATATTTGTTGCGTGATAGGTTCTTGGTTGGTTCGTTCCCAGAGTTCCTTGTTGCTTATTTTTTCTGGCCATCTGATCTTCAGCAGCGAGCGTAAGCAGTTGTTGATGAATGTCTGTAGTTTATTGGAAATGCCTTTCGTGACGCGCCAAGTCTCTGAGCCATACAAGAGCACTGACTTGACGTTGGTGTTGAAAATCCGTATCTTGTTCCACATGCTGAGTGCAGAAGATCTCCACACTGGTTTCAGGCTAATGAACGCCTGTCTTGCTTTTCCGATTCTGACTTTGACGTCCTCGTCCGTCCCGCCTGTAGTTGAAACAGTGCTTCCTAGATAAGTGAAGGAGGTTACTTCCTTCAAGTTTCTCCCGTTGACGGTGATTGGAGTTTGTTGATGGTGGTGGTGCGGTATCTTCATCACTTCTGTCTTCTCTATATTCACCTGAAGTCCCGTCTTCGCTGCCTCTTCTGTCAACTTGTTAGTTTTTGCCTGCAGATCTTCAAGTTTATGTGACATTAGGCACAAGTCATCGGCGAAATCCAAGTCTTCTAGGTTCTTTTCCGTCGTCCAGTGTATCCCCCTCTTCTCGCTGCCTACTGTTTGCTGCATGATCCAGTCGACCACAATAAGGAATATCATGGGGGATAGTAGGCAACCTTGTTTCACTCCTGTCTTCACTGCAAAGGCATCACTGAGCTTTCCATTGTGAATTACTTGGCATGTGGCATCTTCATATAGTTGTTGAATGAGGCGGATAAAGGTTTGCGGTACTCCGTAGTATTGAAGCAGTTTCCAAATTACTTCTCGGTCGACGCTGTCAAAGGCCTTCTCAAAGTCGATGAAGTTGAGGTATAGAGCTGATTGCCATTCTACGCTCTGTTCTATGATGATACGAAGCGTTGCAATTTGGTCAGCACATGATTTGTACTTCCTGAAGCCTGCCTGTTCCGGTCGCAGTTTTGAATCCAGTGCGTCTTTAAGCCTCTCCAGGATGATGCGGCTTAATATTTTACTTGGGGTGGATAGGAGAGTGATTCCGCGCCAGTTCTTGCAAGCACTGAGGTCTCCCTTCTTCGGCAGTTTGACAAGGTAACCCTTCTTCCAATCGTCAGGTACCTCCTCTTCCCTCCACACCTTCTGCAATAGTGGTGTGAGCATGTCCGCTGTTGTCTCTGCATCTGTTCTCAGTGCTTCTGGCGGTATTCCATCTGGTCCTGCTGCTTTCCCGCATTTCAGTAGCTTTATGGCGTTCAGGACTTCCATTTTCGTTGGGGGATTAATGTTCACTTGTAATTCAGCGGCTGCAGGTGGTATTTCTGGACGAAGTGCAGGTGGTGGTCGATTCAAGAGCTTCTTGAAGTGGTCGGCCCATCGTTTCCTCTGTTTCTCTTCTTTTGTAATTAAATTTCCTTCTTCATCTTTTATTGGTTTCATCTGTGTTGGTCTCTTCCCTGATAGCAACCTGGTTATTTGATACAATGTCGTCAGGTCTCTCTTACCTGCAGCCTGTTCTGCTTCACTTGCCAGTGTTTCGTAGAAGTGTCTTTTGTCTTTGCGTGCACTCTTCTTCACTTCTTTATCCAGTGTTTTATACATTGTGCTCAGTTCCTCTTGTCGTTGAGCATCCTTGCACTGGTTTATCTTCTGCTTCACCATCCTCCTCTCCTCTATCAGCTTCCAGGTATCCGTCGAGATCCATTCCTTGTCTTCTTTCTTCTTCCTTCCTAATACTGTTGTGCAGGTTTCTTTCCACATAGCTTTCAAAGACTTCCAGTGTTCTTCCACACAGGTTTCTTCAGGGATGTCCCTCGACGTCTCCCATTTTGTCTTGATGGCTGCTTTGAAGAACTCCTTTGTAGTTTCATCCTTCAGTTTCCGAGTGTTGTACTTGAATTGAGGTCTATCACCAGCTTCCTTGAAGGCTTTTAACTTGATTTGGAAGGTTCCTTGCACTAGATAGTGGTCTGAACCTACATCTGCTCCTCTTCTTGCCCTTGTGTCAAGTAGACTGCGTCTCCATTTTCTTGAGATTGAGATAAAGTCGATTTGATTTTTAGTGTGTCCATCTGGTGAAATCCATGTCGCTTTGTGGATATCCTTGTGCCTGAACACACTGCCTCCAATCACCAAATCGTTGAATGCACAGAATTCTGCAAACAATTCTCCATTCTCATTCATTTCACCTAGCGCCTCTCGACCCATGGTTAGTTCTCTTCCCGTGTTGTCCCCTCCCAGTTTGGCATTCATGTCGCCCATCAGAATTTTGATATCGCCAACTGACGTCTTGTCCAGTGTTGATTGAAGTTGTCTGTAGAATTCCTCCTTTTTCTCTTGCTCTGCATTATTTGTAGGTGCATAACATTGTATGATTGTGACCTTTCTTCCTTTTGAGTTGAATCTTGCTGTCATGATCCTGGAGGAGATTGGTTCCCACTGCATGAGAGCCTTCGATGCTCTTGAGGACATCATGATAGCCACTCCCTCAGTGTGCTCGTGGTTGGCGTCTGGGTGACCGGAGTAGATTATTGATTCTCCAGTTGACAGTTTGGAGAGTCCACTCCCATTCCATCTGCTTTCGCAAATCCCAAGCACTTCGATGTTATACCTTCTCATCTCCTTTGCAATCTGGGCTGCCTTACTGGGTTCAAACATGGTGCGGACATTCCATGTCCCCACGTTTACTTTCGCTTTCATCGAGAGAAGACACATCGGCCAATTGGCTTCCCGAAGGCTTTCACCAACTGGCGTCATTTCGCCTCTCCGATTCCAGCGGGGAATAAGTTTGTTTTCATTTTTTATATTTTGTTTGTGCTTTGAAGTTTCTTTAGCGGTTAGATTTGTTTTACGGGGTAGGGTTGCTAGCCCTATGCCCAACCTTCCCTCTTTACCCGGGCTTAGGACCGGCTAGTAACTAGTAAACTAGTTAACCAGGCGAGGTTACCTAACCCCTAGGTACTCATCAAAGTCTTAAACTTAATCAGATATTGATATAATGTCTTCCAAAGTCAGAAAGGTTGAAGATAACCTGAAACGTAGAATAATGGTCTGCTATCGACACTGAAGATAACGGCCCAGTCATTTTGGTTATTAAGTAAAGCACTAACTGGAGTGATGAGGTCCGAAATAGTTCTTCTAACCAATATTACTTGTTGTTTTTGGTCCCAGTTGTCAAGGAAAGGAGTAAATCTTTGTGGTAACTACCCGAAGATGAGGGGCCAAAGAGGTAGATTCCTAAACATCAACAGTAAATCTGACGGTTCTGGGTATTTTTCGCACTTGGTCGTGGGTTTGCAAGCCAGATTTAAATCTACTATTTAACGTCCTAGAAAAAACTAACTTGTTGGACATAGGTCTTTTCAGAAAAACGTTATTACTTGACTGCATCAACCAATAGTGAGAACAAATGCCTGGTTTTTATTGCAGCACTTGTGTATACCTCGGCTATTTTGTGAGACGATAATACCAAGCATTGCATATATCGAAGATGTTCACTTCCTCTATCTTTTAAAAAATTATCACATCCTAAGGAAATCGCTTCATAGCATAACAGGAATTGTTATTACGGAATTTCTTAATCGATTCATTGTGCGCACGCGATAGTCTTATTTTGTGGGAAGATATCGATTAAGCGCAGTCCTCTAAACACTTGCCAAAATTTGAAAAACCTGTAAATCAGATTTTAAACCGTGCATAGGCCATTATCGCGATATTAGACCACATACTTATGAAAAGTAGTTTCGCCGTTCGAGTTACGGTGAAGATCTCATTGATTATATCGCTGCTAATTTCGATAAGTTGTTTTTGAAACACTTTACTGTCACAGCATACATCAGTGAGTCCTTATTTCATGGATTAAAAAAGTGTTAGAACAGTTGGGGATTGTAGATAAACAGATCTCATTTGCTGAGGCTTACCCACAGCTATACTTTATCGAAAGCACGAAAATCCAGCAGAAAAAATTGCTGCCCTTTACACTGAATGTCATTAAACACGATAGTCTTGTCCTAGTCACAGCTTCGAGTATTCTCGCAAGGGCGTCCTTGGTTACTCCGAGCGCTCGAGTTCCAACCTCTGAGTTGTGGGTTCGCCCCACCTGTCGGGAGTCTAGGCTTGCAGATATCACTAGACACTTTACAATAGGTGTGGCTCATTGTCTAGTCCAAAAACCTGCACGTGGTTGCTGACATCCCTACTCATCCTTTTTCATTCACCTACTGGGACTTGAACCTAGAAAAAATAACTAGTCCTGATGCAAGTGCTTCTAACAGCCCTAAATTTAACCTGTCTGTAGTCCATGAGTTGCTTGAAGGCATATCGACGATCAGTGAAACATGGGGTACAACAGCTTGGATATCCAACCGGGACGCTTAGAATTACTTTGCACTACATAGATGCATACTCCTCGGATCTACAAATGTGTGAATTATCGAAGGTTATGAGTTACTTCTGATACGTTGCGACCTCTTACTAGGTCTTCATTCAGTAGCTTTATACAAACCAAGGTATATTTGTCTTCAGTTTTAATAGATGCCAAAGGCTAATTGGTTTTTGTCAAATAAATAGAAACGCACTAAAATAGTATTCTGATAATGTGTGAGAAAATAAGATGTGACTTTTAATCGATTTACTTTCACCATCATATTAATTACAGGTAAAGTAACAAACTTATTTATAAGAATGTACAGAGTAAAAGTACAGAATGGTGAGATACTTCCACCAATGTTGATTAAGAAAAGAAGGAAGTAGTGAAGAAAAGTATGTGTATGCATCGTATCGGACTACTTGATCAACGACATGCGTATTTGCTCCTTTGCATTTTGAATAGCCTGTGTTTCATAGAAAGAGGCGCTTTGTAAGTTATAAAATAATAATTAGCAGTGAACAAAAAGTGAGCCGAACAATAGAGCAATAGTTCATATTTTAGACGCTTTTTAACCAGTTGGTATATGGCTTATTTACCAAGGTGTGTATCTTGGCAGTATTATCCTGGCAAGTGTGCTACGCAGCCAGTGTTACGGCTTGCACCAAGCTAACTACTGATATACCGATCCATATTTCAAATAGAGATCGACAACAAAAGCGACCAATACTAACCCTGTGCTCTTAGTTCGCTAACTCTCGGTCAAGAAATGAGAATGTGCAAACTACCTGATACCTAAATATAATTTACTGCATCCAAACAACCAAGATACTGTGAAACAGAGAAATAAACATAGCTGTGAAAAGCGAAATTATCGAATGAGGTGGATCTTGAAAGCCAAGGATGATGCTTTACACTTAAAAACATGTTACTTTATAGCAGCCGTTTACGCAAGACTACTCAGACAGCAACTCCATCCATTTCCCAAGTCTTTGAGGCTGAAATCAAGGATACGCTGGCTTGGACTAACTCTATATGACCGAGTAAACTAACAGTTACATATCACAGAATTCAAACATACAACACGAGGAACGGGAGATATCTCTTTGAATTAACATCTCCCCTTGAATGAACAGTATTTAGGGTATTGTCAGAATACTTTATTTGAAAGAAAGAGAATATGAAAAATCATAAATGCTTTTGATCCAGGTACTTTACAGCTTCTGTGTATTACTCTCGTGCATATGTCACCTGATCCTACAATATCAGGGTGCTAGAAGTCTTTAATAAAACTGATTTTGATTGGTCCATCTTTCGTGTTGTTGAGCTTGGTGAATTCAACATTCTCGAAGTGCTTTAGAATACTCCATGGTTTCGAACGCCACGGCAAAATCAAGCGCCGCAGCTTCTCCGTCGAGGGTTTGTACATTCGCTACGACTGCGAACTTGTGAAAAATTTAGTAGTTCCACCTTTACGCATAACACAATGACAGTACCTGGGACCAGGTTTCCATTGTTTCTCCAACTGATGTCAATCCATGATGAATACCAACCTGAAACAATGATATTATGCGAATATCCACTAGGTGGCAATGGTGAGACTACATGTCTTACACAAGTCAGCGGGGAAAGACAAGTTATTAAAAATTAGTTTATAGTTCTGTTCCTGATATCCAATACGTATCAAAATACAGTAAAGAATCCGTCGGGATGTTTAATACAGTGACTTTTCTATAGATAGGCAGATAATGCTTCCAGTTTCTGCTGTGGACAAAATTTCAATAATAGTCTAGTGAGAAACTGAGTGTTTGGTGTAAAAAGGGAGTGGACACTTATCAGCACATTGAAACGATTCTGGTACACGGTAGGTCTGCCGAATTAGACAAGTGATTCAGTTCCAGGGATCAGCAACAACCATGGCTACACAGACACTGAAAAACTTTCTGCATACAAAATAGTGGAATCTAGTAGCAACCTTCTATGCTTTCCCCACCTCCTAAATTAAGCAGGAGAGTAAAAAATATTAGATGCTCAAAAAATATAATTCAAAGGTCCATAAAACAGCTAAGTGCCCATCTAATGAATGGATGCGAACTGTTTTGAACGGGCTATAGTTCAACCGATGACTCGACGATGCCACCCAAAACTGATATCTTACAACACTTGGACATAATATACAGCACACAAAAATATCATAACCTTGGAATTACCTGTGCAACTGTCTGTTCTCCAAGTGGGATGTCATCTGTTCGCGCACCGACTCGAGAAACTAAAGCCGCTGCATCGGATTCTAACAGTATGCTTGGAGGGAAATATTGAGTAACTCTTTTAATTACCCATTGTGGCAAAGTTCATCAACAATCAAGAAAATCAAATCTAGATTATCCATTAGCGTTTTCTTTTCAACTGATCGCTTCAGCGTTTGACTGACTGAGTCGTACAAACATTGAAGAGCGCTGACGAGCAACAACTTAGAAGAATAAATGGGCAATCTAATAACTCACTTCATTTCATTGGCATCACCAATAACATAAAAGTACAGGTCACCCACATTGCGATACACACATGTTGCACCATCTAGTAACGTAATTTCAGCTAAAGAATAACGAAAACAATACGCATTTACACTGAATAAATGGTCCAGAGAATAATAAACACGATTCAGTGCGGAATGGGTATAAAATAAGCTTCTCATCCATTAAAAAGCGGATTTTTGCTCCATGACTGCTGTGGGTGGTTAACCACTTTAGTTGTGAGGCTGGGTCATCCCTGGTGGGTCAGTGATGGAAGAAATTTCTGCACAAATACAAAAGACTCGACTGACTCTCGCTAACCAAAATCATTAATAAAGCCAGTATGATATCCAATAACTTCTTAAGGGTCGACTGTTATGCATTGCAGTTTGCTGTTCTGCTATATGGCTATGAAACATGCATTGGTGGTTGACATCATAAGGCTCTTGGGGTTCAACCACTGTCACTTTCATAGTACAGTTCGTGTATCATGGTGCCACCGCGTCAGTAACAGAGAAGTTGGTCCTGGAGTTGAAGTTGTGAACCACCATCAGCTCAGGTGACTGGTTCTTATGTTACGCACGGTATGATAACCGAAATCGGTGGTTGGAGACTCTAGATAATAGTGCTGACAGTCGCTTAAAGTGTCACAGGTTTACCCACGGATTATTTCCCTACTAGTTATCATGCTAAATTTCATTAATACTCCGTTCCTTCTTATTCTCTTTCTAACTACTTTTTATCACTTTTGATTGGTCTTTCTTATCCTTTTCTTTCACTGTTGCACTTTCTACTTTAATGCGTTGATATGAAGTTTGATAAATCGGGTTATTACGCAGCAATGCCAGGTCCTTCGCTGATGCTGACTGGCTGATACTACGGATAAACAGATAGGGCCGGACGAGAATTCATGTAATTACTTTCGAGACACTTGACAAACTTGTTATCTTCAAATTGTTCGTTCTCTAGCACAACTTTGCTCACTTTGATAACACTTTTTTCTATCCACTTGTGTTTCTTATACTTCGGTGAATTGTGGCAACTTGACCCAATTCACTTATGTGTGAGGTTCTACGTTGATTTTGTCTCTGTCTGAAAAAAGCCGCTGTATGAAATATACTTAATCAGATGATGAACCAATTTTTGGGTTACTGCCTGTTCCACACTTACCTCGTTCTACTGCTGCTACGAGATTCTTTGAAAGTGTCTCAGTGAATTGACATTGTTTTAAGCTGTTTCCACATAATTTGATTCGTAGGCATGTGGGAGTTGATTAGTTTTAAGGTGATATTTATCCCAGACCGGGGTCAATTGAACAACCAATAAAAACCTGGGAGCACTAGACAGCTGTTTCGTCCCAGTATGGAACTCGTCAGGAGCGTCCACCAACGACCGCGATCGAAACCAAGGCAGTCAAGTCTCCGTGTGAGCCCGTTACTACTCAACCACCGCATCAGAATCCTGTGGTCCACATTCTCCTCATTCTGTCGATTCGCGGTATAGCACGACCATGGCTCAATGCCACCAGTGAGATCTTTCCTTACATCCGAGATGGTTGACCCTACAGATCACGGTTGTCCAGTGCCCTCAGGGTTTTTATTGGTTCTACAACTGATGACAGTCTGTGATGAGTGCTACCTTGTACTTACATAAGCCTCGTACTCATTAAAGTTTGTTTATGGGTTACACGTTTTATGGGTGGATTACTTCTTATTGCAATGCATTTTGTCAGTCAGTTGTCATTCCGAGCTCGGTCAACTAACTGGTTTTCTGATCTAGAAGTCAAATTTACGACGTGTAGTTGTCTATTTAGAATCAGAAGTAAAAACAAAAGTCCTATTTCACCCAATATTCACGAGGTATGTCATTTTGTACCTTTGAGGCTGTTTAATTATGATGAAAGAACAAACAGGATAATCAGACTGAACGCGCATACTTGTATACAAACGATTACTAGTGACACGTGCTGTCATCAAGGATGAAATACGGCTATTATGAAATCAGTGGCTCAAGTCTGCATTGGCCTTATAACTGCTATAAAAGTGATTCTAGTAGGATTTACTAGGTGAAAACCACCAGAATGTAAGATCATTCCTTTTCTTTATACCATCGACAACTTACTGGTGATTCAAGCATCACGCTGCGCACTGTTAGCTTCATGTCCTCGGACTAGCCTTTCAGTAAAAACAAGTAGATGATACACAGGGAAGTGTTCGGAAAGGCATCTGTTTATCTTTACGAGAGTCACTGTTAGTATATCAAAGCTAGCTAGTGAAGATTGTTGACTTTTTCAAGAGGGATTTTTGAACAAGGTATGCCAATTAGTCTGTTGCTTTATGCAAACATACCGCTGAAAATGGTTTGAAATTATCTGACATATATCCGACCACTCCTTAATTTGATATTTAACGTGTGATGCAGGGTGGAAACGAAGGATAACTAAACAAACTGGTGGACTTATATAAGCAGCAACTAACTGCCTCCAATAATGTAATGATCATGGATAGTTAGTTGCGTTTGAAATGCTAACTAGTAACTGCCATATAAATACCTAAGCCGCACTTTTGCTAGAGCAGATAATACCATCTAGTAACCTAAACTGCGGTGAATGAAAAAGAAAATGTGGTCTGTTCCTTGATAGTTGACTGTTTGGCTTAATTATCGACAGCCGCATATTACCTAGTAATACTTTCTTCTATATCAAAAAATGAAACTGACTTTGGGATATACTAGCTGCAAGCTTTTTTTGTCAACGTGACTAGGTGCTTATTTGAAACTGTTTCTAATGCCACACCTTCTGTATGAAGTCTTGTAAAAATTCGTACAAGGGCTAGCCAAAATGTACTTACAGAGCACTTACCAAAATCCAATGCAGTGCAAAGTGGTGACATAGAGACAGATATGATGACGGGAGACCACAAAACACGAGGGACTAAGATCTAGAGCGGTAAAACATTTTCCCCCTAGACTCACTACTAAAACGATAATCAGCCTCAAATTAATGTGGAAAATATTTCAACAAATAATGCAAATCCTGCCTATAACTGATAAAATGGTATAAAAATAGTCCAAAAAAGTATTTCTTACAGTGATGTGATTTTCGTTATCTCACTTGGGAAGGAAAGCCCTATGCTGTTTATGAGGAAAGCTTTTGCATTATTATCGCCTTATTTTTAAACTATTTCAAAAGTAAAGTGCAGGTGATAGTGTGCATAAAATGATTTTATGAATGGTCTACCGTTGTGCACTCCATTGGAACTATTGCTCAAGACAGGTTTCTTAGGGAACAAAATACTAAGTGTTTCTACTTATCGCTATTCACAGATATATATATATATATATATATATATATATATATATATATATATATATATATATATATATAAAAGCATAGATTAGGGTGGTGAATAACCTACGAAAAGAGTACTGTTTACACTACCAAAACTGCGTCTTTATAGAATGAATGGGAAAGGCATTTTTCCCCGTCTTTTTCCTTGCTGCAAAATCAACGCGATTACATTTCTAACCCAAAAGGTGGACCATAGTGCATTGATTCTATTCACTCAACAATTTACACAGTCCATTTTCTGTTCTCTCTGTAGTTCTGTCGATCCCTTGTACACTTCTTTCCTATATACACAAAGTTTAAAATGCTACAAACCACTTTCAGACACCTAGAAGCAAACATCAGGATTTTAAATGATTCGAAATAGTTCGTTATTACCATACCCGATCTGAAATATTTCGGATCGATTGCCATACTACTTGTAGACACACTATAATTAACAATGTTAAGTGGAGATATGAGTTGTCTGTGAAATACATCGGTAAGTTGGTGTAATGCCTTCCATCTACTGAACAACCGCATGGAAATAACCAGCTGACTACCTTCTTAGATGTGCACAGAGGGGTAACATACTGTTTGCAGACGACATTTAGCAATCAGTAGTCGAGTATAAGCCTGAAACAGGTCAGTTTACGACTGAATAGTTGTATTAATTTTTTCTTACTAAGCACATATCTAGGAGTCTAACAAAGCCTACCGATCTAGGTAAGATAGCAACGAAGTAACCGTTAACCTTAGTTCTAGAAAGAAATTTTCTTCATATAGACTCTCCCAACAAAACAGTTAACATGTCCATACTTATGTATTTCACTGATAATCCAAATATTTCAGCCTTTACTTCAGGTTTGTGGAATCACATAGGTCCCAGAATGCAGGACCATTTCATACAAAGTTGAGAAAAGAAATGGAACCAGACACATTGCCAAGCGCAGGACCAAAAGATATGTAGGTAAGCTAGGGACTTCATAAATCATTCATCTAGATCTGCTAAGAATGAGGACGCACATGAGAAATTATCACAAGTGATATATATTCATCAAGCCTTTATATGTAGCTTACCACCACTAGATTTGCTTGTTTTCTTGAAAAGTTTGGACTCGAACTCAAGTTGGAGTTTTACAGTTGGAAATGATGAGTCATAATACTGGCAGAATAAAAATAACCTAGAACATTATTGCTTTACGGTTTTACCTTCGTTAAGATGCGCTTTCCTTCATTGTCTAGGATCAAAATACTGTTGATAGAATAAAGTGATGGTTCCTATGGAAGTGTAAAAAGGTACACTTTTACCAGTAGCATTTCAACCCCAAGGCACTGACAGCAAGAAATGTGCAGTTGGCACCAGTTTAACTAGATCGCTATTGTACTGTATGCCGACCTTGCAACATAAAGACTTCAAAGTCCAAGTTGTGGAGCAGAACAGGATTCTTAATAGGATTGCAAATCATAGTCACAGTGGAACTTTCTTGTTACGAGGGTACGCAATATTACCTGGAGATACCGAGAAACAGGAAAACTCCGAACCTTGATAATGTCCGGAGTTTTGTGAAAGACAATTTTGAAACATACCACGGGTATCTCTGCTATGTATATAAATATATATACATACATACATATAGGTAGAGAGAGGACAAAAACTGAGCACTTCCCCCCTTGAAAACATATTTGCACTCGTACTTACGATTGTGCTGTGATTTGACTGTTTGTCTTTTGAGTGGATACTGGAAACGTTTATTTGTTGATTTGATTCTGGTAGACAGAATATTGATCCCTGTTCTCGAGGACGTTCTCACTGACTCTCAAGTATTTAACTACTGTATTTGTTTAACCACTTTTTACCGCATAGTACGTATTTGCACCCGAAAACCTTTGGACTGCTAAGTTATCTAACGGCACTTTTGAGGTATTCTTGTAACTTTGATATAAACCATTGTTGCCTTGATAGTAACACAGATTTTGATACAAGTCTATCATTGATTAACTACAAACTGTGTTTGATACTTTAATCAAACTTCTGAATGTGCGTCACTCGCGAAGATCCGAAGAATTTAGTGTCACATATATCCACAAATTCAATAGCCTAGGGTTCGACAACTTTCGACATTGGTGCTGACCCTGATAGTTTAACTGGACTCACTTGGGTGGAAGCACCCGGTCAAGCATCCTTGTCATTTGGCAAGCGGTTGTGTTACGTTGCACTGCTCGTAATCGACCCTCTGGCCAGTTAGTTGGAATGCATTGGTATTTTGGCACAACCACCTAAATATACTATTCCATCCGACTATGCTGTCGTGTTCTTCCTTGGTCTCGTACTCGTGGGTATATAGCAAGTCCGAATAATTGGTGATTGGTCTTTGCGTCTGTCTAGTTCGCGCCAGGACAAATCCTAAATTGGTGAGCCCAAAGTGATCACATATCCCGACCAATAACAGATATTGAGTTTGTGAGCCTGTTACATTTTAAACTTTTATGTTGTTTTCATTTCGATAACAATTATATCATTTACTACACTTTCTCATGTCCGACCACACTCCCAAGCTCATTCGTATTAAGCCGACTACGAACACGATCCAACTCTTGCCATATTGGCCAGACAACGCGGAAACATAGTTTCTGTATGCCGAGGCAGATCTTCGAGAACAGGGCGTCTCAAATCCTCATTCTCGATTTCTTGCTGCCATAAATTCATTACCGCGGTAATTGGACAAGTATGTTGCAGCACGTATGTTTAGTGATGAAGTAAGTGATCCTTATGCGCTTCTCAAGGCTTCTCAAGGAACTAGTCAGATTCGCGTTAGTTGGCACCGCCTTGTCATTTCGTGCGTTGAGTCTTTGATTATGATTTTGGCTGTCACACACCCATGAAGGTATTTATTATGTGCAACATAGATGTTCCAGCTCCTTTGTTAAAGTAACTAATACAATGATCTGACAAGCACGGAGATCAGCGACGCAGTTGCCACTTCAGATACATGGCTCTCACCCGGAGTTTATGAGATTGAAACATTTTAATAACGGTTCGTTTTTTTGAAGTAGCATATTAGTGCGCAGAACTGGCGTCGTCATCTATTACGTGAAGGATACGCTAACTGCAGGGACCATAGTAACTTTCGCGAAAAAAAGGAGAATACGTAGGATGTGATGCTGCGAACTGAAATGTTATGGATGAGAAGTTTATCTCAGCCGCGCAATTTCTATCCTTGATCCTCTGCAACCAGTTCTCCGAGAGATTGTCTAGTCGCCGGAATGTATGAGAACAAGATCTAACACCGGAAAGCGTATTGGTTTTGTCTACATATGTAGAAGGAAAAATTGTAACTGTCGTCGCCCGATCTACCATTATTATTTTTCTTGCCTTGGGTTCCTAGTGGAACATAGGGGGTCAGTTGCACGTCGCCATTTCACTCTGTTCTCTGCGGTCTTTTGAACCTGGCTCCAAGACTGCTCACAAGCTTTCATTTCTTCCTCGCATGATCTCTTCCATGTCACCCTCGCCTCGGATGGCCAACTCATCGTTTCCCATCTGGGTTCCATTCGACGACCTGGCGCGTGATGTCCTCAGTCGGTCTTCTCAGTGTATGCTCGACCCATTTACACTTTCTTCTGCATATTCGTCAGGTGATAAGTTCTTGGCTGGTTGGTTCGTCATCAGAGTTCCTTATTGCTCATCCTTTCTGGCCATCTGATCTTCAGCATTAAGTGAGCGTAGGCGGCAGCTGCTGATGAATGTCTGTAGTTTGTTGGAAATGCTTTTCGTGACGCGGTGAGTCTCTCAAACATCACATAGAAGCACTGACTTGACTGAATTAGTGTTGAAAATCCTGATGTTGTTCCACATGCTGAGTGCAGAAGATCTCCACACTGGTTTCAGACTAATGGAGGCCTGTCTTGCTGTCTTTCCGATCCTGGCTTTGACGTCCTCGTCTGTGCCACCTGTAGTTGAAACGATGCTGTCCAGCATAGGTAGGTGAAAGAGACAACTTCTTTTAGGTTTGTTCCGTTGATGGTGATTGGTGCTTGTTGTTGTTGGTGGTCTTGGTTGAGTATCTTCATCATCTCCTTCTTCTCTACATTCACTTGAAGTCTCGTCTTCGCCAACCTGCTTCTTCTGTCAACCTGTTGGATTTTGCCTGTAGACCTTCGAGTTCCTGCGACAGGACGTCAGACATAAATCATCATCGTTGGCGAAATCCAAATCTTGTAAGCTCCTTTCATCGGTCCAGACGGTGTGTGCCAATCTTCTAGCTTCTCACTGTTTGCTTCATGGTCCAGTCCACCACAACCGGGAAGGTCATCGGTGATAGTGGGTGGCAACCTTGTCTTACTCCTGTCTTCACTTCAGGGGCGTCACTGAGCCCTCCATCGTGGATCATTAGGCATGTGGCGTCGTCATGTAGCTGAGGAATGAGGTTGATAAAGATTTGTGGCACTCCATAGTTTTGAAGTAACTGACAAATACTTCATTCTATGCTCCGTTCTCTGACAACTCGTAGCGTAGCCTTGCGATTTGTTCTTTCTGAAGCCAGGCTCTCCCAGTCGTAGTTTTTAGTGATGAACATTGTTTAGTCTGTCCAGGATGTTGCGGCATAATATTTTGTTTGGGGTGGGCAGAGGTGAGGCATGATTCCGCGCCAAATCTTGCAAAGGCTTAGGTCTTCTTTCTTCGGCAGTTTGACAAGGCAGCCCTTCTTCCAATCTGCAGGTACCTTTCCTTCCTCCCTTGCAAACCTTCTGCAGCAGTGGTGTGAGTATATCCGTTGTTGTCTCTGCGTCCGTTTTCAGTGCTCCTGGTGGAATTCCATCTGGTCCTGTCGCTCTCCCGGATTTTAACAGTTTCATGGTTTCCAGGACCTATGCTTTTGTCGGAGGGTTTGTGTTCACCGGCAATTCTGTGTCTGCTGGTGATGTTTCTGGACGAGTTGTAGGTGGTAGTAGCCTGTTCTTAGTGAACCACATTTATCGACGTTTAAATCAGGATAGGACTCTTCACATGGTATTGCAATTTGACTTGATTCTTGTCAAGCACTAGTCCTAGGGTTGCTTAGCTCACGAGTTTAGCAAGAATGAGCCATCTGAGCATATGATGTTTTGTCCTAGGGGAAAGAGGTTACGTATGCCATAAATATAAACTGTAGACACGAAAGCCAAATGATATTTCCTTTAGTGACACCAGCAGTTATGTGCCTATGTTTAGCCTACACGAGATTTACTTTAACCCTTTTTTACCATCACTAAGACATATCTTTAATCACCTGAATAACGTGTCAAAAACCCCAGTTGGCTACAGCTTTTCGAAAAGTATGCTACATTTCGCATCACTCTCAGCAATACCAGTGCCCGGTTGTTGCACTTTCCCGAATATACAGACAAGTTAAACGCCAGGTCTGTTTTAATCGCGATAAAAACGAATTTCAAAATAATCTGAACGTATAAAAAATTCAAACAAGAACCTCCTAGATGTCTCAGTGGGCTAGCTACGGCTACTTCACCTCAATTCCGTTTCCAGTATGATGTTTGCCATAGTTGACACTGGCAGCAACATTTTGTTCTACTGTGCGGTAAGTATGGTATTTCCTCGCTTATTTTCATCTCAGGCTTGACGAAAGTTCATCACTAGATCGCCCTTCAACGATCGTCCATCGTTTCGTGTGTGCTGCATTTCGCTGTCATGGGCAAATTGATACCATTTGACTGAGGGCGGGCAGCTTAACGGTACTTACAGCTCCTTTGCAAGTTTCAGAGATTATTACAATGGGTGTGGGAATGTAGTAGAGAGTTTTGTGCAGGATATCTGCTTGAAAATAAGTTTACATACTTGAAGAGACAAACGCATTCCATTTCAGTCCAACTTTTGGTCTCGAATCACTTACCTACATGAAGAGAGAAAAACACGGCGGCAGGCTGCACCTCGTATTTTATGCTATACTCTGAAGAAAAAGGCGTGATTAGTTTTGAGTCGACCTGTCCAAAGCAGTTCTCCGTTCACGATCAGGTACCTTGGCTTGTCTTCATTTATGCATTCCTTTGGCATTTTGTGGATCATTCATGACTTCCAAAAGTGTGTCTGGCAGGGTTAGCCTCCCTCGGAGACCCCCTGGCTATTGTGCATCACTCTATAAAATAGGTTCGTTGATGGAGAACAGCATGGATTGGGAGCTGACTATCTCAGGATAACAACCTATCATCGAAGACAGACCACTCAGTACGCCTATTGAGGTCATATTTATGAGGGAGCTGCCACTCTCGCTAGGACTTCCTGTCTGGGATTTATTGAAAATACTGAAAGCTTTTTGGTTGAT